TGATTTTTGTTTGTTTTTCTATTTTTCTCTCACTGACTAAGCTATAGCATCTGTATAGGCAGCTTTTCTCAGAAGTGGACATTGAAGTGAAGGGCAGACATGATCCTGCAGAGCCTTCAAGCCTGGTATGTACATTGAATTGTGTGCTCAGTGGAGCAGCAGTTACAAATTGCTGAACTCCCAATATCCTGGGACAGGTCATAGGAAGCCCAAGACTGAATTCTGGCTGTCTCTAGAAAAGACACTACATAATAATAAATAGCCATGTGTCAGACACTGCTTTGAGCTCCTCACATGTCAACTCATTCAATCAACCACAAAAGGGAAGTAGCTGACATGAGAGTTTATTGTCAGTTTTAATTTACGTGCCTGGCTCATCTAAGAAATCCATGTATTCTTAAGCTAGCAATCCTTAGAAAACTGCATGAAGGAAATTTTATATAGTAGTCACAATACTTTGTGTGTATGTGCGTGTGTATCTTCAGCAGAGAAAGCAGACATTGTTCTCAATTTCATAATGTCAGAGTGAAAGAAAGACCATGTCATTATTTGGACTTGGTAAAATATACATGTAATTCCTGTTATTACCTTGCTTTCCCATCACATTGGCTTCAACAAAAGAAGTTAAGTGCACTCCTTTTCAGGAAACGTATGAATGTTCTATTTAATAAGTATTCAGATGTTTTTTGAGCACTTGTCTCACAGAGCATTTGTTTAAAATTAGGTAATTCATGTGTAGCTAGCCAGCATCTGCTTTCTGACTTAAGGCTTGTCAGCCTTTGCTGGAAGAAAGTTGGTCTTGATTGACATTGCAGGTGTGATTAACTTACATGCTGCATATAAAGTAAGTTTAAAAGTGTGGCCCTAGCCAGTTTGGCTCAGTGGATAGAATGTTGGCCTGTGGACTGAAGGGTTCCAGGTTGGATTCCAGTCCAGGGCATATGCCCGGGTTGCAGTCTCCATTCACATGTGGGAGGTACAGGAGGTAGCCGATCAATGATTCTCATCATTTGGTGTTTCTCTCTCTCCCTCTCCCTCTCCCTCTCTGACATCAATAAAAATATATTTAATAAATAAATAAAAATAAAAGTGCCCTAGCCAGTTTGGCTCAGTGAATAGAGTGTCGGCCTGCGGACTGAAGGGTCCCGGGTTTGATTCTGGTCAAGGGCATGTACCTTGATTGTGGGCACATCCCCAGTAGGGGGTGTGCAGGAGGCAGCTGATCAATGTTTCTAACTCTCTATCCTTCTCCCTCCCTCTCTGCAAAAAATCAATAAAATATTTAAAAAATAAAATAAAAAAAAATAAAAGTGGGTGTGAGTGTGTATAAAGCTCATCAATTTCATAGGCCTTACCATAGGTGTTGCTTAGATATTGAGCTGCACAGGAATAAGAGGCCACAAGATGGCAAGCTAACACTGGAAATGGGTATATAGCTAAGTTCTGGACATTGGAAGAGAAATTACCTTTCCATTTTTTTATTTCTATTCTATAGAGATGTGGGCTAATAATGTGGTCATCTGTACTTTTGAATACTTACAATAAGCTAGCTGAACAGTTACTGAAGTATAGTTTTAAAAATCAGGAGATGACTAGACAACTGTTTATAATGGATACAGGCTAGCGCCACTTTGTATGGATTATAGATATTTTTAACTTTCCAAAGCACCAGTCAAAAGTCTTGTTTTGTTTTGACTAAACGGTAGTCACTCTACTACCTCTACATGCAAAGGAGACTTGGAAATGTGCCTTTGTTCAGGTGGGCATATTGCCACCCCCAACAAAATCAGTTAGTACCTAGTTGTCTAATACAGTTTTTAAAAATGGGTGTGACACAGTTGATCATTACATGGGATACCAGTATTTCAAATATATTTGAAACAATTTTATACAGAAAATCTCTGGAAGATTCGATTTGGAGTTTTAAAAAAATGAAATCTTGCTGTTACTTTATGTAACATTAGGCAAGTTGCTATATCATTTTGAGTTGTAGTCTTCTGATTTGTAAGTATTTTAAAGATTTCCAATTTCAGAATGCTATGACTTTTTAGTTTGCACAACATAGTTTTGCTGTAAGATTTATGAAGATGTTAATTATTGCTGCACATCTACTGTGGGTGAACTCTGAAGGTATGATGAAGGATGTGGCTCTTGCCTGCATGTAAGATGTTCATAATTTAGAGGGGGATACAAGTGTATAAGCCAGTAATATAGGGGCAAGTGATATAATGAAGCCATATATTGTGAATTATAATATCTGACATTTTAAATAACCTTTATGTGCCATAAATAACCTTTATGTGCATGGATCATCTCATATACTCTCTTTAACAACCCTATGTGATAGGTATTATTTATCCCCATTTTATATCAAAAGTTTGCTCTCTGGTAGAAATATTTTATCCAAGCCTTGAAATGAAATTAGAATTTCTCGAGGTGGAGAAAAGAATGAAATCATACATAAGTACCTTACATATCACTATAATGTCATGATTTTAAAGAAGATAAATCTTACTATAACCAGTTCTGTGGAACTGCCTAAAGTGTTCATTGTAATGAGGTATGTTGCTATTTATGTACATGAAATTTTTTTAAAGGTGATTCTCTATTAAACAGATCTTTCTGTGGTATCAGGTTTATATAGTGCTATAGCCAATACAAAGTCTCATTTTGCCATTACCCAATATATGTTCTAGTTATGAAAACCATAGGATGTTGAAGAGCTAAAAGGAAATTTGGAGATCATCGAGCTATACCTCCCATATAAATCCAGGGTTTTTGCTATTATTGTTAATCCTCACCCAAGGATATTTTTTCATTGATCTTTTAGAGAGTGGAAGAGAGAGGGAAAGACAGAAACATCAATGTGAGAAAAACACGTTGCGAGGAGCCTGTAACCAAGGTACATGCCCTTGACCGGAATCAAACCCAGGATCCATTGGTCCACAGGCCAACACTCTATCCACTGAGCCAAACCAGTTAGGGCTAAATCCAGGAATATTCTTGATTTCCTCTTTCAGTGTTAGGGATCTACTACATCAGGCAATCATTTTGTTGTGAGGCAGTTCAGTTTAACATTTCTGTATTAGGGAAGCATCTTTATCTCTGATTTTCAGCTTATTGGTTCTAGTTCTGAAGCCTTGGGAAATGATAAGCTGTTTGTCTTTCAAGTGTTGGGAAAATCATTCCCTATAGTCGGCACACAAACATCTACTAACACAGGATTAAGTTAACTTTTTCCCAATAGTTTCCTACTATGCTTTTTCATGTGAAAATGACAGACAGCTAAAACTCAGGGATTTATTTATGTCATGAACTAATATCAATCCTAATCTCATATTAAGATTTTAAATCTTGATGCAGAATGATTACTGGTTCCATTTCACCTGAATTCTGAGATTTTTAATCCTGTTTTGTTTCAGCACCCAACATACTGGTCATTTATTTTGTCTTTAGTAGATATGGCTTCTGTGTCTTCTGAATCACTAATGTGAATGTAGTCAGGAACTGGTTTTGGCCACAAGTAAGAGACTAATGGGGTTGGGGGGGAGTGAAAGAGAAACAAGGAAAAGACACCAGATGAGTGTTGAGGTTTCTTATAATGAAAACAAAACCGTGAAGATAGGTGGTTCAGGCTGATCTGGCAATTTCATCATGGCTTCAATGTCCCAGGAGTTTTTTGCTCCATCCAGGTCTAGCTTCCATCCTCAGAGTCACTTCGTGGTAGAAAGATGTTCACTGCAGTTCTAGCTATGATGTCTCAGGCAGGAAGGAGTGGGGGAGTGAAAAGATGCATGCAAGCTAGGTCAGCCTCCCTTTTATTTTTTCTCAAAGCATACTGTCAATCTAGTAGTTTTGATAAGGTAATTACATTATTGCCTCTACATGCAAAGGAGACTTGGAAACCTGCTTTTTAGCTGGCACATTGCCATCCCCAACAAAATCAGAATTATCTTAGGTGAAAAGGAGTAAATACTGGGTAGACAAAAGATGGGAAGAGGCAAAAGGGACAAAAATATTAGAAAGATTGAGTTTCTAAGTACAGAGACCTAAGTTGTGGGGATACAAGGATACAAAGAGGTGAATAAGATAAAATCTTTGACCTAGCTACAGTCAGTAGTCTTTAATGTCACCAAACTAATGTAATTAGAGGCAATCTTCTCTAAGAAGATTGGCTTTTCACATTTGCTAATCTTTCACAGAAAGATCTCAAATTACTGCATTTTCTTTGAAGTAAATGATAAATGCTTTATCAGTGAAACCACTTGCTAACCTAGTGGTTAATGCTTTTTTTAGTAGTGGGGTTAATGATCATCAATTTAGTTAATGACATTTTTGTAGAAAAAATTTGGAAATTGTATTGCTTAATATTTGTCTCGTCTTAACCCAATCTATTGCACAGTGACTTTTTGCTGAAGGATAGGAATCTGGAGTCCACTTCTTCAACTTCCTATTATTCTGTACAGACAAGTGGGTTCATCTCCAATTCTATGCCATTCTGTCTATCTCTGCTCTGATCAGAGACCCATAGCACACAATTTTCCATTCTAGAGGGAGGGGAGATGTATTAATAAATTGCAGGCAAGCTGTGACATTGTATGATACATTGTGAATCCCTGATCATAAAAGGTCCAATAATATGGAAATGTATAAGGTATTTTCAAGTTCTATGGTTAGAGAGAAGTGTTAAATCAAATGGGCATATTCTTTTTCTGGATCCTCCCCCACTCCCTATAAATGTGCTTTTTCTGTGGGACCTGCCGTCTATCATGACTCTAGGGCAGTGGTTCTCAACCTGTGGGTTGCGACCCCTTTGGAGGTCAAATGACCCTTTCACAGGGGTCGCCTAAGACCATCCTGCATATCAGATATTTACATTACGATTTATAACAGTAGCAACATTACAGTTATGAAGTAGCAACGAAAATAATTTTAGGGTTGGGTCACAACATGAGGAACTGTATTTAAAGGGCCAGAAGGTTGAGAACCACTGCTCTAGGGTGACCCTTTCCGATGTCCAGGGACACCTAAACTGCAGAGTCGTGGGCTCTGTGGTCTTTTCCCCTGGCTGGGCCTTCTCGCTTAAATAGGCTCCTGTGCCCCTAGTTAGCAGCCACCCCGCCCTCCCCAGCCTTTCTCTGCGAGGATTGGGTGGGGCTGCGTGAGTGGAGCCGTGGCTGCTGCTTTGGAAAGCTTGCTAGTGCCTCAGCGGCACCTTGGAGGACATCACGTTTGTCAGAAGTGTCACTTCTTATACTTTCCACTTGACAGACCTAAGCACTTAGAAGGATGCTGATAGCTGGGTTTCTTCAGACTAATTGGCAATTAACTATTCAAAAACAATTCATGAACCCTGAAGCAAAACAACGAGACCTCTGGTGTACGTGATCGAGCACATATTGAAAATTTTATTAATTCCTCCCAAATTACATGAAGGCTGATACCCTTTGTTTCCCATCCCAGCCTAGTTCTTGCTTAGGAGGGATGCAGGTTTTCTTTGTTTAACCTTACAGTGTGTTGCAAAGTAGCTTTGTTTCACTTTCCCGAGTTGTGCTTATGGCAGAGGCTGAATGGTGATTCTGGAGTAGCGGAAGGGCCCCTACCTCACCACATTCAACATATCTGAGGTTGGGGCACTCACACACTGAGAACTTGGGTCTTTTAGAGTATTTTTGGAGACAGCACTTAAGAAGGCACTTGAGAATCAAAAAGCTCAGTTCAGTGAAATTCAACACAATACACAGGCATGAGGTAACCACCATGAAGAGGATGAAGATGGTTTTCTCGGTGGGTCTGGACATGAAGCAGTCCACAGTGTTGGGACAAGGCTTCAGATCACACTTCATAAGGTAAGGAACACTGAAGCCATCATACAGCTTGTAAAATAAAACCAAGAAGCCAATTTCAAAACCAAGTTTAACAATGAGGCTGGTAAGGTAAGTATACCACAGGCCCCCATCCATCGTACCTAGGCTAACATAGAGTTTCTTTCTGTGCCTTTTTTCTCTACCCTCACGATAGGCTACATGTAGAACCACCAGAAGTGAAGGCGTGGAGACCATGATCAGTTGTAAGGCCCAAAGTCTGACCTGGGAGATGGGGAAGAAGTAGTCAAAACACATGTTTTCACAACCAGGTTGTCTAATGTTGCACTCAAACTCTTTCTGCTCATCTTTCCACACATGCTCTGCTGCCACCATGTAGACCAGCAAACGGAAGATGAACACAACAGCCAGCCAAATCCGCCCAATCCCAGTTGAGTATTTATTTACTCCACTTAGGAGGTCTCTGAGGAATATCCAACTCATGACGTAGGCTCAAAAGAAGACAAGATTCTGAAAAAGAAAACAATTTCATCATGATTCATTTATTTTTATTCTACTGATCATTTATTCCTACTGTCTTACTTGATTATGGAATTGTGGGAAGTAAACTCAAACTTCTGCATTACAACAACTTCGGATGTTGAGAGCTCCCTAAGAATCCCTAAGGATATGCTCTCTTTCATACAAGAAGATGACATAACTGGCCCACATTTGTAACTGATCCCATGCCCAGTTTAATTGGGAATTTGGTTGGTCATCCCACACATACTACCCTGCTTTCAAACAAATCCTTTTAGTTGATTGCTTCTCTCTAAGAATGGGTTCTGTGGCTGACCTGGAAAGAATTGGATGTAAATCTCTAGGTTACCTTGGTACTTTGAGATGTCTCTTACATGCCAGCTTCTTGAAGTTGTTGTCTCTACTCACTTTTCCTAATTTGTCAAAGTACTTCCCCAACCCTTAAAGGTTATTCCCTGCCCCTGCTTCCCCTCATGTTCTGAATCATATACGAGGAACAGAGCTCACCTAGTGAAAAGTGAGGTTCTACAATACCAACTTTCTCAGACCCATGCTTCCTCATCCCTCCAGACCTACTTACATCCATGCCCAACTTATCTTCTTTACCGAGTTTGGAGGGAGAGGTCAGTCTCGCCTCAAAATGATCATTCCAGCTCTTCATCCATTATTGATCTGTCCATTTTCCCTGCCCTTTGATTTCCTTAGCTGGTTGACTATCATTACCAACAACCAAGCACCCAAGTCAGGAATCTCATAACCATTCTAGACTCCTCTCATGACCCTTTTTTAATTGCTCACCAAGTTCTTCTGATTCCTCCTAGTTATTTCTCAAATTTATCTCCAAGTCACTGCTGAAATCTTTCTGATCTGTACAGCCCTCCCAGTGTCATCATCTCTCTCTTCCCTTGTCCTCCTAGTACATACTTGATGCTGCTTAATTTTCTTGTGCTTCTCTCCATCTCTTTTGCTTTTATCCCCTATAAAAACCCTTCTTTTTCATTTCAGTTACATTAACTTTCTGGCACTCTCTGCTTCTGTCTTGTTCATAATTGAACTTGTGGGCTGGGCCCCGGTTTGTGTTTGTTGGGCCCATCATATGCTCAGTGCTGTCTGTCCAGTGCTTTTGAGTTGGTTTCTCCCAACCACTCTAGAAAGTGGGGTTTGTTTGTTTATGGTGGTGTTGGTTTTGGTTGTTAATATTTTTCAGATGAGAAAGCAGACTCTGAAAAATGCCGCTTTCCCAAGGTCACACAATGACGTGCAGAGCAGGGTTCAAATCCAATCTCCATTACTTTATTTTCAGTTAAAGGTGCAAGAAATGTATTAGGTAAAATGCCTGTGAAAGAGAACAGGGAGGAAGCTGGGAAAGGCTTGGAAAACCATCAGACCGTGATGCAAGTCTGACCCCAGGAAAGGAAGAAATGAAGGTTGGGTAGAAGTGACAGACTGCAATGCAATCTTTTTTTTTTTAATTATTTTTCAACCACAGTCCACCTTCAGCCTGTGGCCAGACAATCACATACCTCACAACATAATTTTCATTATTTTAAAACAGGGTTTCTCAACAGTTGCACCATTGACATTTTGGGCTGGAAATTTCATTCTAGCAGCTGTCCTGTGCATTGTGGAGTGTTGAGCAGCATTCCTGGCCTCTGCCACCTCCTGTCCCCACTTGTGACAACCAAAAATGTCTCTAGACATTTCCAAATGTACCCTGGAGAAATGAGGCAAAATCTCTACAGTTGAAAACTGCTGCTCTTAACTTGCTACTATAATCAGACGATGTGGGTTAGAGCTCCTGGTCTGCCACTAACACACTCTGTTATGTCTCAGGTGAAAATCCTGCCATTTCAGGTCCTGTTTCCTATTACAGAAATAATTACATCTTACTTTCTTCATAGACTCAGCCAAAAGAGTACCATGGAAATGATACTGTGAAGGGAACCTGGGGGTTAAGAAATTTGGGGTATTGTTATAACAGCACACCTGTTGGAGCACATCACATTATCTCCTCCTGAGGGAACAATAAGTAGCAGCCCACACGCTACAGCCCCAAGGAGATGTATGAAGGTTAAGAGCTGTTTTCAGAGAAAACAAAGGTACATGTACACAATGCTCTATTCAGTAGGGAATTAATACTCGAATGTGCTTGGTTTCAGAACACAAACAAAATTGTATTAAATAAAAAGGATTCTCAAATCCACCTGAAAGGTTAATGTCTCCGTGAATTATTAAAACAAAGCCCCAAAGGTTACAAAGGAATAAAAAAGTATTATGTTTCCTCATGGCGTGTCATTGGGCATTTGTCCATATTACTCAAGTGGATATTTATGTAATGTTCCAAAACATTTGAAAGTACTCTGTTGGGCATGTTAGAAAAGGGAGGAAGGTAAGAGTGGATACAGACTATTCTGCTAAAAGAAAAGCAGTAAAAAAAAAAAAAAGTATTTGAACAGAATCCAAAGGTTGATATTGTTAAATGTGTCAGGATTATGAGTTTCATTGGACTGATAAATGTCCAACCTATTTTGAAATTCTCTGCTGAAGAGGAAATGGTTTTTCTCAGGAGGGAGGGGTGTTCTAATGTTAGGTCACTTTTAACAGCTGTTTAGCATAAGTGAAATAAGCCTGGGCACAGGGTTGGACTCCTTGGGTTCAAGTCCACGTTCATCTGTGATAATAGTACCTACCTCCTGGGACTCAAAACAGAGTCTGACACATTGTGGGTGCTCAATAAGCAATATATGCTTTTTTTCATTAAAACCTTTCTTGATGTCAAAGTAAAGTCTTTTCAGTTGCAAGTTAAATTTGGGTTTGTTTTTTTTTCTCTAGCTCTGTTCCTGTGAAGGTGAAAAATAGGAATCTCCATTTAATAGCCTGTTAAGCATTTGAAAGCAGTAAGTGAAGTCATTAGCTCAAATATTTTTGTATTTTAATGCACAAGATTGTCTCCTTATTTTAATAAAGATCTTTAATTTATCCCTTTCATTAAATCACCAAGGATTACTCCCAATTTCTAAAAGAGTTTCCACTTACCAGTTCTAATGAAGCAATTCTATGATTTTCTCCTCTTAAGAAGTAGCAGTTTACTGCACAGGAATTCAATCTGGAAAATTCAGTTAATCAAATACTTTCAGAAAGTAAATATTCAATTCTTGATATCAGGAATAATTTTGGAAAGTTGCAAAATTCCCCCAAACATTTTATGTAAATTAAAAGTAGGGGTGAGAAGCCGGTGCTGGGACAAGCAGATTTTCACATGCAAAAAAATAAAGTTGGATTCCTACCTCACCATTTAAAAAAATTTCAACTCAAAAATGGATCAATAATCTAAATATTAGAGCTAAAACCATAAAAGTTTTCAAAGAACACATAGTGGTAAATATTTATGATCTTGGATTTGGTAATGGATTCTTAGATATGACACCAAAAGCATGAGCAACAACAACAACAAATAGATAAATTGGACTTCATAAAAAACTTTTGGTCTGCCCCGAGAAGTGTTGCTCAGTGGTTAGAGCATTGGCCTGCACACGGAAGGGTCCTGGGTTCAACTGGGTTGCAGGTTCGATTCCCAGCCCCAGTCAGGGCATGTTCCGGAGGCAACCAATCCACATGTCTCTCTCACATCAGTGCTTCTCTCTCCCCTGCCCCCGGCCCACCAGCCCTTCCCTCCTCCCTCCTTTCCACTGTCTCTGAAAAGCAATTGGAAAAAACAACAATATCCTCAGGTGAGGATAAATAACAACAATAAAACTTGTTCATCAAAGAACATTATCAGGAAAGTAAAAAAAGCAACCTACAAAATGAGAAAAAATATTTAAGTCATATATCTGGTAAGGGCTTAATATTTAGAATATATTTTAAAATTCCTAAAACTCAACTACAAAAAGACAACTCGATTTAAAAATGGGCAAAACCTGAATAAACATTTCTCCAAAGAAAATATGCAAATGGCCAATCCACCCAGGAAAAGATCTCAACATCATTAGTCACTAGGGAAATGAAATCAAAACTGCATGAGATACCACTTCACACTTACTAGGATGGGTATAATCTTTAAAAGGTAAACACAAGTGTGGGCAAGGATGGTGGAGAAATTGGAATCCTGTACAAAACTGGTGGAAATGTAAAATGGTGCTGCCACTGTGAAAAACAATTTGGCAGTTCCTCAAAAAGCTAAACATAGAATTACCTTATGACCCAGCAATTCCACTTCTGGATAAATATCAAAAAATGTTTTTTGAAAACAGGCTCTCAAAGAGATGTTTGTATGCCAAGATTTATTACAGCATTATTTCCAGTAGCCAACAGGTAAACACGACTTGTCACATCAACAGATGAATGGATAAACAAAATTATTCAGTCAGAACAAGGAAGGAAGTTCTGCTACATGCTACAGCAAGTATGAATCTTAAGACACTATGGTAAGTGAAATAAGACACAAAAGGATAACTATTGTGTGATTCCACTTATATGAAGTATCTAGCAAACTCCTAGAGCTAGAAACTAGATTAGACATTACAGGTACCAGAAGGAAGAAAAAAATGGGTTGTTATTGCTTAATGATTACAGAGTTTTAGGTTGGGGTTGAAAATTTTTTTGAAATAGATAGTAGTGATGGTTGCACAATACTATAATTAATGTTACTGAATTGTACACTTAAAATGATCAAAATAAATTTTGTTATGTATATATTTTTACCAATACATTGGGGCCTTGACTTACGAGTGTCCCGACTAACGAGTTTTTCGAGACACGAGCCATCTCTCGGCCGATTTTTTGCTTTGAGTTGCGAGCTAAAATTCAGGTTACGAGCCAGCTTCAGATACCCCACCGCTAGTTGGCACAGCAAACGTCACAGTGAACGCCACAACATCAGCCCAGCATCACGTGTCTCACTTGTTCACTGTTGATTTGACATACAAGTAATTTGAGTTACGAGCTCCGTCACGGAACGAATTAAACTCGTAGTCAAGGCCCCACTGTATATATATAATTTCTACCAAATAAGTTCCCCAAAAATGTGGGTGGGAAGATGCCTATTTGGAATATAAGGGAACAATAGTGGTTTAAATAACCTGAACATTTATGGAGAACTGTTTATATAGAAAATGAAAATAGGGAGAAAAGGAGAAATAACAAAATATTAATCCTTATCAACGAAAAAAAGTTCTTATATCCCCCCTTCTCACGATTTTTTGTGGTGCCAATAATGTTTTTTACAAAATGAACATACACTTGAAGAAAATAAACAATAAAAATAAACCATACAATATCAGAGCTATTACTATTCTCTGCGTGTATGTGTTTGTGACGGTTGAACAAGGCTGTTTATAGAATAAACATTTACAAAGCCAGCTTATTAATATATATCAGGAAGGTTACCAGGTAGGAAAATTATGTGCTGGATCATTTTCAATCTTCCTTGCCTGCACATATATGTCAGTGACTCCTCAAATGTCCAGTCCAGACCTCTCACCTCTGAGCTACAGCTGCCTCCTTGTCATCTGTACTAGGATGTCATCCCATAAACTGAAAATGTCCCAAAGTGAACCCTTGCTATTGCTCCTCTACTTTCCACCTTCCCCAGAGCACTGCTCTGCCTCCAGTGCTCTCTACCTCAGTAGATCACACCAGTACCCACCCACATGTTGAAACGTGGAATTTTTTCTTCACCTTCTCTCTGCTCCAAACCCCACATCCAATCTCTATTCAAGTCCAAAGTTTCTACCTTTGAAACGTATCCCAAAACTTCTCACTCTTTTTGTCTGCA